ACGAGCTAACATCTAGCGTACATCTGTGAAATGAAAAGCGTTTTGCATAGATTGTCTAGTTGAACTGTCAAAATCTTGATCTCAAAGTCGGTAACATTATTCTTGTTTTAATCATCTGTAAACTGTGGCTTATAAAGATTAAGTGGTCTACAGTGACACAACCCACCCTCAGTTGGTGATGGGATTCAATCCCAAGGTCGTGATTTCACATCTACCCATGCTTAAGGCTGCGCAAATCTAATGCCACAAAAGAGGGAAGGCCTTGATGTTAGCTTTCGTTTGAATATGTTGCAATAAGAAACCACTGGAGATTTCCGGTAAGGAGGATGAAAATAAGTGTCTTTGTCCTAAGGGACAATGGCAGAAAAGTACTGGTTCCATGACTAGAATGCTAGCACATCATGGAATGTGCCTGGCTCCCCCTGAGTTCTGGGAGCTTCCCAATTGCCCTCCCTTCCCCTTCACATTCCACAAGTCCAGCTGATCTATTCTGGGCTCTGAGGGCCTCACCAATTTCCAGAGATAAACCTATCACCAACTTCATAAAACGCTAAATTCAAAAATCAACTCAGAGAACTCAACTGCTGCACAGGGCAGTGTGAATAAATTCCCTTCCAGGCTGTCTTGGGCTTGGACCTGAAGTCACCTGAAGATGACTAGGGTCCTAATAGGACAAGACCAGACCTGGGGATTCGATGAATCCAATTGTATCCCACCCAACTAGATCTCATAAGTTCTGCACTAAAAATAAACAAATAAATAAAGACTTTATTGATATCTAATTCACATACCATAAAAGATACCCATTTAAAGCATACAATCCAATGGTTCTCAAATGCAAAAAGCATTTCAAAAAGCAACTAACAGGGCCAGCAGTTAGCATAATGGCTATGTCACTGGACTTCCACGTAGTTGACTGTGGTTCGAGTCACAGACCCGGTGGCTTAAACACACACCGGGTGCGTGCGCGTGCAAGCCCAAGATCCCAAAAGGAGAATGGAAGAGAAGGGACTGCGGAGTGGCCGTCCTCCCTGGGGGGTGATTTCTCGCTTTCAGTCTCTCTTGTCTTTCTGGCACGCGCATGCGCCCTATAGCAAAAATCTCTCCAAAAAAAAAAAAAAAGCAACTATCATCACATCACTTTTAGAACATTTTTGTTACTCTACAAAGAAAGCCCATACCCATTACCAGTCACTGCCCATTTCTCCCCAGCCTTCCCAGCCAGAAGTGACTACTAATCTACTTTACATCTTTATAGATTTCCTATTCTGGACATTTAATATGAAAGGAATCATGTAAGATGTGTTCTTTGTAACTGGCTTTTTTCTCTTCATGTTTTCAAGGTCCATGTGTGTTGTAGAATGTACTCCATTCCTCTTCTTGACAAGTAATATTCCACTGTATGGATGAAGGCATCTCTTGGCTGAAGGATATCATCCTATCTCCTTTTTCTCTATCAACTATTAGGTCACTGGAAAGTCATGATGCATTTTTTGCATAGAAAAATATGTCATGAGTTTTTTGATGACCAACAGAGCTCCTCCTGGGAAAAATGGCTTATAGCCAACACGAACACACTGAGAAAAAAAATTCTTTTTTTATTAATGTACTCTCTTGGGGGGGGGGCCTCCTCAACCCACATTTTCATTTTAACCTAGATACGAATAGGTCTCACAATCATGTCTCTAAAATCACACTCTTAGCTCGCTGTAGTGTCTGCATGTCTTTGAAGCTACAATTGCCAATTCAACTGCCAGCTCCATTGGCAACTAGAAATCTCTACCTCTTGGCATCTGGGCCTGCCACCAAGATCAGAATGAGTTAATGCACATCCAGGGACCAGGTGCTTCCCTACCCTACAGAGAGTAAAGGTATGGTCTGCTCTTGCATCTGCAATGCCATCAGCAGCACAAGACCATGACAACCATGCCTACAGCAGAACCACAAAATCTGAGACCTACTCTCCACAGAGAATAATCAGCAATTCAAGCATAGCATTATAGCATTTTCTTTAACCCTCAAAGTTCTGTAAGTCTAACCTAAGCTAGCTTGCTTGCTTTTTTTTTTTTTTTTTTTTTTAAGCTAGCTTGCTTGCTTTTTTTTGGGGGGGGAGCGGGGAGGCTTTTGCTAAAGGGCACATGCGCTCGCCAGAAAAACAGAGACAGACAGAAAGCAAGAAATCACTCCTTAGGGTGGATGGCCACACCACAATCCCTTCTCCTCTAGGGATCTTGGGCACACACGTACACACGCCCAATGTGAGTTTAAGCCACCAGGTCCAGGACTCGAACCACAGTCGACTACATGGGAGTTCAGCAACACAGCCATTATACTAACTGCTGGTCCCAGCTTTTCCAGATTTTTTTTAAAACCACCTTTCTTCCTCTCCAGAGAACCAATCAACTAGACACAAACACACCCAGTTTTCCTTTACTCAAGCAACTAATTTTGATAAAAAGTTTCTGCTGGTGGGATCACTGGGCTAGATTCATCCAAAGAACTCTCGGGTTATCTAGAATTTCCTTTAGAAAAGGGTATAGAGGTGACTACTTCAACTGTCTTGAGTGAAGAAGGAAAAGCAATTTGTGAATGATGGAGGAGAAAGATATATAAAAATTAACCAAGATTAACAATGGATAACACTTATGAGGACTTTTAAATTTAAAGTAGTTAAATCTAGGGGCCAGCAGATGGCATGGGGTTAGGGTGCTGGATTCCCACCTGGTTGACCAAAGTTCAAGTCCTGGATTTAGTGGCTGGAAAATCACATTAGGTACATGTGCCTCAAATTCTAGGAGGAGAATAAAGGAGGATTGTGGCATGGCTATCATCCCCCCACCCAGATGAATTCTCATTTTCTCTCTCGGGCCAGCACGCATACGCATACAGGTGGATAACCAACTATAAATTGACCTAAAAGTTAATGATCTTTGGGAACAGATGGTTGTGCAACAGTGAAGTGTGACACTCACTGAGGCAATTCCATATATGAAGGTTTCTAGTTTGAGTATCCAAACCTCCCCAAGTAGGACAGGCACATACTTCATCCTGGGCTGGTTGGTGGTGGATCATGGGATTGAGACCCTGTTAAGGGTGCCTGCCTGCTTGCTCACTTGCTCTACCGCACCCCCCACTCATGGAAGAAAAAAAGCTTTTAAAAAGGTTTATGATCTTTGTAGATAAGTTAAACCAATAGTTTTTCTAATACTTGCTTTCCATATCATTCTCCAGTACCTAGCACAGGGCTGCTATGCACTAAAATACTCTCGTTGAATACTTCTGAAACCCTATTTCGAATTCCTAATCCCACTGTTCAAATTAACAATGACATAAATTGTGATCTAGACCTACGATATCTCATAAAGTAACCACTGACTACATTAAAACTAAGTTAAATATGGGACCAGCAGATGGTGTAATGGTTACATTGCTGGAACTGCATGTAGTCAACCACAGTTTGAGTCTGGACCTGGGATCTTAAAACTCATGCCAGGTGTGAGTGCGTGCGTGCCCCTATCACTGAGAGAACAGAGGAGAAGGAATTGTGGTGTGGCCATCTCCCCAGGGGGTAATTTCTCCTTTCTGTTTCTCTGTCTCTCCAGTGAGCACATGTACCCTATAGCCAAATATATATATATATTAAAAACCAAACAAACAAACAAAACTAAGGTAAGTGAAAAATTTAGGTCCTCGGTCATCCCAGCCACCTTTCAAATGTTTAACAACTGTATGTGGCTAGGGGCCAGTGGGTTTTTACAACCCACAGCTATTGGCCAGTGGCTTGGACAACTCATGTCTATTTCATTTCTATCATCGGATAGAAATGCCTCTACTGGGGTTCATCTCAACACCTCACTAATCATCTTTCTATGAAGATACATAAGGACTATAAAGAGAAAGATCGAAGTATAACACTCATAGTCTTTTTAATTGGTTTTAAAGAAAACAAAATAAAAACTGAAGGGAATTTTAAAAGAGAATTTTCTTTTTTATTTAAATATTAAAAGTTGTGCTATTTATGGGGTATGGTGTGGTCTTTCAACACACAGAAACTGTAAAGATCACATTGGAGCAATAAGAATATCATCTCAAACGTTTATCATCACTTTGTGTGGTGAACATCTGAAATCCTCTCTTCTAGCTATTCTGAAATACACATATATAGAATGGTCACCAAGTATGGTTAACCTACTGTGCTAAAGTAGTCTAGAAGTCATTCTGCTTACATACTTTCACTCCTATCTGTTAACCAAGTTCTCCTGATACTTCTGGTATCTGCCAGTTCATTCTCCACATCTACGTGATCAAATCTTCTGGCTTCCGCTAATGAGTACAAACATATGGTATTTGTCTTTCAGTGCCTGGCTTATTTCACTTATCATTATTTCCTCTAGGCTCATCTGTGTTGCCTCGAATAACAGAATTTCCTACTTTTGTATGGCTGATTAATCTTCAGATAATCACATTTTCCTTTTTTTTTTTTTAAGATATTTTTGCTATAGAGCACTTGCACTCTCTGGAGAGGCAGAGACAGAGACAGAAAGTGAGAAATCACCCCCCAGGTGGGATGACTATGCTGCAATTCCTTCTCCTCCATTCTCCTCTTGGGATCATGGGCACGCACGCACATGCACCCAGCGTGAGTTTTAAGCCGCTGGATCTGAGACTTGAACTGCAGTCAACTTCATGGAAGTCCAGCAATGTAACTATTTCGCCACCTGCTGGTCCCGATAATCATATTTTCTTTATTCACTCATCAGTTGATGGATACGTAGGTTAATTCCATGTCTTAGTTTTTGTGAACAGTGCTGAAATAAACATGAAAGTGTAGGTATCTCTTCAACATACTGATTTCCTTTCCTTTGGACATACACACAGAAGGATTAGTGGGTTACTGGATCATAAGGTAGTCCTATTTTCATTTTTTTGTGGAGCTACCACACTGTTTTCTATAATGGCTTACTAATCGACGTTTTCACCAACAGTACAGGAGGGTTCCCCATTCTTCACAACCTCACCAGCATATGTTGTTGTTGTTTTTAATAAAAAATAGCCATTCTAACTGGGGTGAGGTGATACTTTATTGTGATTTTAATTTGCATTTGCCTGATAATTAGTGATGTTAAGCATTTTTTCATGTACTTGTTGGCCATTTTTATTCTTCTTTTGAGAACTGCCTGTTCAGATCAATTGCCCTTCTTAAAATCAGGTTGCTTTTTTGTTGGTGAGCAGTGAGTTCCTTGTGTATTTCTGTTATTAATCCCTGGCTGGTGTATAACTTACAAATATTTTTCTTCCATTCTGTAGGCTGTGTCTTCACACTGTTGACTTTCTTTTGCTGTGGAGAAGCTTTTAGTTAAAGCAGAATCTTGAGTGTTAAACATTACTTCCAGTTATGATTAGACGTACTGAAGACTCCTTAAAATTTCCATTAAACACAAGTGTCACACTCTATAAATCTAATCTGAGCAAAGAAAAGGTCATTCTTACTTTCTTAACCATGAGCACTAGCATAAAGTACTGGACTTCCCTCTATCTCATGCCCTAAAATCTAAATTCCCAGGGAGACAGGGTTTATTTGTTTGTTTTTGTCTATTTTATTGGTTATTCAGTTTCTCAGGACCTGGCTATACATATAATGGTGCTTAATAACATCTGCAGAATGAAGGAATTAATGTACCTACTTCCGAAGAAAACACACCAATCTGACTAAACATAATTCTAAAACATTGAATTTCAGCACTGACTTTCAGATTCTGAATGTCCCAGGCTTATTGTTGCCTCAGGCCTTTGCTGGGTGCCATTTCCTATATCTAGAAGACTGTCCCCATGATCTCCATGTGACTGGCTCCTCCTCCCCAGCAAGGTGGCATCACATGCTACAGAAGTCTGACCACCAATCCTGCTACGCTCTGTCGCTCTCTCTAGTTTACTGCTTCAAAACACTTCACCATTACTTAAAACGACTTGATCAGTATATCGTTTATTATCTATGCCTATGTGCACAACACAAACAGGAGAGAGAGAATCTTGTCATCTTCTGGTATCTACAGTGCCTGGTGCAATGATGATGTTCAATGAATACAAAGATGCTCAGTTTACCTTATGGATATTCTCTTTACAGACTACATTAAGTGTGTTGTTAGTTCAGTTCCTCCCTACACTGAACTAGTTTTTAGTTCATAGGGCCATAGATTTTTTTTTTTCACAATTTAAACTCTGAAATTAAATGGAGTAAATTGTACTTGAACTTAGTATGGATATTTAATATACTTTATTTTTCAATCACCAATACTTGTCTAAAGTTTAGGATCACAACCAAAATTAGGGTGATTATCAGAAGCAGCATAAAATATCTCAAGAAAAATGATGTACCCTTTAATGAGTTAATATTAACTTGTACAGACACTTTGAAACTAGCATACTTCCTAACTAGTCACAAGTCTGAGGCCAACTTCTCAAAGAGGCCTAAAAAACAGAGGCCCAATTACATCACAAGACACAGTTTTAACAAGGTTATCAGTCTCTGCCCAGGTGTGGCTCAGGGAACCCCCTTTCCCCAAAAACAAAAAATCCTAAACCTCCATTACTAAATGGACAGCATTTCATAAGTACTCTCTTTTTCTAGATTCTGGGCAAATTTTAAATTACATCTAAGTACTGTCAGGTGACAATGATCCGAAGTAAAGAAAAAATTAATGGATATCTGTATATAAGAGCAAGCAAATATAGGAAATTTAAGAGAAAAATACTTTGACCATGTGAAAGATGTTTTCTTTTTGTGTGAATTTAAAACTAGAAGAAAAAGAGGGGACAATACTTGAAATATTTTACATATTTTTAAAGGTCTGCATGTAAACCAATCGAAGACATGTACTAAAGAAGGTCAAAGAAAGAATGTCAAAGTCACCAAGGCAAACAGAACCCTACATACAATAAGCCTCTGAGTATATGCATGCGGCTCATTTACTTCGGCTACGTTTTTCAGTTCCTCCATATTCGGGAAGAAGCGTTTTTTCGGTCGGTGAGTTAAAAAGGGGAAGAGGTCAGTTGGCCATGCCTTGTCCGAGGCAGAACCTGTATTCCTGCGCTGGGCCCGGCCCGCTCCGGCGCCTGCCGGCTCGGGTGCGCGGCCCCGCGGTGCGCCTGGCGGGACCACGGCCGCGCGCGCCGGGAAGGCGGACAGTGCCGCGTGCCCGCGCCGGGCCGGGGGGCGTGGGAGCAACGGGCGCTCACCGAGCAGGGCAGCGCGGGCCCTCAGCCTTCCGAGCGCCTGCAGCAGGGCGCAGGGCGGCGGCCACCTGACAACGCACACAAACAAGAAGGCGCGGCAGCTGCTGGCGCACCGCGGCTCGGGGCACACCACCAGAGAAGACCCCGCACCCCACCCCTTTCCCACGCTTCTCCTACCCTGACCTGCGCTTCCTTCTCCTCCGGCCACCGTCTGCCGCGGCCCCAGAGCCCCCAGCTGCAATTCTCAGCTGATGGGCGGTGGCGCTGAGACGTCCAGTGCGCATGCCCGATGTGCTGCCCAAGGAAGAAGGCGGGGTTCGCTCCTCTCCCATTGGCCTGCGGGGCTGAGTGACAGCGGCTCTCTCCCGCCCCTCTGGTTTCGAGCTAAGAAATAGGCGGACCAGCAAAATCGCAATGGAGCTCTTTGAATCCTGACGTACAGAGAATGAACGCCTTAACTTGCGTGCAAAAAAAGAAGAGCGGGGAATGGAGGGCAGTTGTCTTCTTTATCGGGTGAAGCCAGCCTTCCTGGACGCGTGTCTTTACCCCTCCCCATCAGCTCATGCCTGTCTTGTTTCCTCTCTAACTCTGCAGTAGACCTTATTCACGGACTGCAGATACGCAATCCTATCAGGAACAATGAAGGAGTGAGTGAGTGATTTTCCTAGCACATGTTAGTCATCCTAAACATCCCTTGAAAGACAGGGCGTAGTTTTACAGACTCTGAGAAGAGCAGAGAATGTCCCAATGATAACTGTTCAAATATAATGTAATCGTTAGAAGCAAAGCTTTAGGTGAAAGAAATAACAAAATTAGAAGACAGGTGGACTTGGCCTTTGCCTATGTTATAAGGCAACACTATTTTCTGAGAAGAGCATCAGGACGTGGGATATCAAAATTCCAGATAAGAAGAAACAAAATCCAAGATATTATGAATTGGAGCAACCTGAGCAAATTATAGGTAGTTGGTAGTATAAAACATATGTACATAAATGAGTCAGATTAGGGTTACCCTTCAAGTAGGAACAGAGTGAAATGGACACACTAGCCGAGCACACTCACCCCATCTGAAGGAAATGTGATTCAGCTAGAGCCATTGTGGACTTTTAGGAATATTGGCCCAATATAATCAAATTATCTGTTTTTTTCAAGATTCAATGGAAATTTACCTGTTGATGATGATGTGTATAGTATTCTCAACTGGACTGGTCTGAGAAGTATTTCTTGTTGGGTAAAGTCTTTTTACAAGCAAAATGACAAATAGTGATTGAATGTTGAAAAAATAATTGAAATAATAATAATAATCTGGAAAAACAATGAAAAGCCATTGAATGATGATGATGGGGATTCTAATGTCTTTGTATTGACTGATATGAATGGTATTCCTTCTGGAAAAAGAAAGTATTACACTGTAAAGTTATATGTGATTCAATGTAATATAAACAAGATTATGATAATAAAAATAAAAACAAAAAGATTCAATGGAAATGCAGATTTTTATGTGAAATCTCTCCTTTTTCAATATTCTTCTTTTTTTTTTTATAAAACATAATCATTTAAAACATGATCAGATAAATATGTGTTCAACCTCTGTAATGGGCAATCATGTCCACCATTAAAGCTGGGGAAGCCCTTACGGAAAATCTAGTCTACTTCCTCATTTCACAGATTAGAGAAACTGAAATAAACAAGAAAAATTTTCAGAGTCATGCAGATAATTATGAGCAACTTAGCTTAAGGTGTCCTAATTCAGAATCTAGACGTCTTCCTACTATGTCATTTATATAACAAATACTCTTTTGAGAGCCTGCCATGTGCCAGGTAATATGTCAGACACTTGCAGATATCAAGATATATAGGATATATTATCCTCTGTCAAGGAGTTCAAAGAGTGATTCTTCTCACAACTCTTCTCACATACAAATCACTATGATAGAGATCTGGGCAAAACACATAGAAAAGCCCAGAAATGGAGGTGACTTATTGTGGGGTAATGGAGGAAGTGTTGATGGAATCTTAAAAGATGTGTAAACGTTCACCAGAGGGGAATAAAAGAGCACGTAAAAACTTGCAGTATTGGGACCTGCAGATGGCATAATGGTTACATCGTTGTACTCCCACATAGTTGGCCACGGTTTGAGTCCTGGACCTGGTGGCTTAAAGTTCACGCCAGGCACATGTGCATATGTGTCCAGAATCCCAAAAGGAGAATGGAGGAGAAGGGATTGTAGTGTGGCCATTCCCCTGGGAGGTGATTTCTTGCTTTCTTTCTCTTCGGAGAGTACATGTGCCCTATAACAAAAATCTCTCTAAACAAACAAATTTGTAGTATCATAGGCAAGTGCAAACTTTTAGTAATCCCTGTATAATTTTACTTAGATAAAACATAGTAGATGAATTGAAGGGGTGAGACAAGAAAGGAAGTCATATACTGAAAAGCCTCTATATGTTGTTAACTGATTAATAGGAGTTGAGCCATTAAAAAATTGCACACAAGGATCTGAGGTACTCATAATTTCTATGCTACAAAGAAAACTCAAGGCAAGTGGAGGAAATTAAAAGAAATAACCCTGAGAAAGTAGGCAGAGAGAGACCACATGGAAGGCTGTTGCAATAATGACGTCCTTCCAATGAATGATCTCCCCTATGTTGCGGCTATTGAAGGACTCTTAGAAGGAAAATATATTATAGAAGAAGAGGTGAAGACTGGCTTAAAAATATTTTAGAAGGCTTGAAAATCAACTAGATCTGGAGAATGCAAAAAAAGACTCCCAATTTATGTTATGTGAAACTAATCTGAAGATGATGAAGCTCTCTGAGATCTAAGGTTACTAATGAGGCAACTGCAGTTTGAGACTGGAGATGGTGAAAGGAGGGAGCAAAATGACAGTAAATTTAGCTTTAAACATATTTTTTGCATTCTTAAATATCCATGTTTGAGATATCCACCGTCCTACAAGTACTTAAAAATGTGAGTTAGAGCTCAGGATAGAGTTCTGATTTATGGGAAGAGATGAGTTCAGTGTCTCTAAGCATGAATACTATAAATACCTGTGTTTAAGAGATGGGGAGAGATGGAACCTACAGAAAAAGCAGAGATTCGGGCGATGGATCCTACATGGCAACTGCACTATGCAAGTCCTGGACCTGGGAGCTTGAAAAACACACCAGGCATCGATAATCATTTAAAACATGATCAGATAAATATGTGTTCAACCTCTGTAATGGGCAATCATGTCCACCATTAAAGCTGGGGAAGCCCTTACGGAAAATCTAGTCTACTTCCTCATTTCACAGATTAGAGAAACTGAAATAAACAAGAAAAATTTTCAGAGTCATGCAGATAATTATGAGCAACTTAGCTTAAGGTGTCCTAATTCAGAATCTAGACGTCTTCCTACTATGTCATTTATATAACAAATACTCTTTTGAGAGCCTGCCATGTGCCAGGTAATATGTCAGACACTTGCAGATATCAAGATATATAGGATATATTATCCTCTGTCAAGGAGTTCAAAGAGTGATTCTTCTCACAACTCTTCTCACATACAAATCACTATGATAGAGATCTGGGCAAAACACATAGAAAAGCCCAGAAATGGAGGTGACTTATTGTGGGGTAATGGAGGAAGTGTTGATGGAATCTTAAAAGATGTGTAAACGTTCACCAGAGGGGAATAAAAGAGCACGTAAAAACTTGCAGTATTGGGACCTGCAGATGGCATAATGGTTACATCGTTGTACTCCCACATAGTTGGCCACGGTTTGAGTCCTGGACCTGGTGGCTTAAAGTTCACGCCAGGCACATGTGCATATGTGTCCAGAATCCCAAAAGGAGAATGGAGGAGAAGGGATTGTAGTGTGGCCATTCCCCTGGGAGGTGATTTCTTGCTTTCTTTCTCTTCGGAGAGTACATGTGCCCTATAACAAAAATCTCTCTAAACAAACAAATTTGTAGTATCATAGGCAAGTGCAAACTTTTAGTAATCCCTGTATAATTTTACTTAGATAAAACATAGTAGATGAATTGAAGGGGTGAGACAAGAAAGGAAGTCATATACTGAAAAGCCTCTATATGTTGTTAACTGATTAATAGGAGTTGAGCCATTAAAAAATTGCACACAAGGATCTGAGGTACTCATAATTTCTATGCTACAAAGAAAACTCAAGGCAAGTGGAGGAAATTAAAAGAAATAACCCTGAGAAAGTAGGCAGAGAGAGACCACATGGAAGGCTGTTGCAATAATGACGTCCTTCCAATGAATGATCTCCCCTATGTTGCGGCTATTGAAGGACTCTTAGAAGGAAAATATATTATAGAAGAAGAGGTGAAGACTGGCTTAAAAATATTTTAGAAGGCTTGAAAATCAACTAGATCTGGAGAATGCAAAAAAAGACTCCCAATTTATGTTATGTGAAACTAATCTGAAGATGATGAAGCTCTCTGAGATCTAAGGTTACTAATGAGGCAACTGCAGTTTGAGACTGGAGATGGTGAAAGGAGGGAGCAAAATGACAGTAAATTTAGCTTTAAACATATTTTTTGCATTCTTAAATATCCATGTTTGAGATATCCACCGTCCTACAAGTACTTAAAAATGTGAGTTAGAGCTCAGGATAGAGTTCTGATTTATGGGAAGAGATGAGTTCAGTGTCTCTAAGCATGAATACTATAAATACCTGTGTTTAAGAGATGGGGAGAGATGGAACCTACAGAAAAAGCAGAGATTCGGGCGATGGATCCTACATGGCAACTGCACTATGCAAGTCCTGGACCTGGGAGCTTGAAAAACACACCAGGCATCGGGACCAGCAGTTAGCATAATGGCTATGTCGCTGGACTCCCACGTAGTTGACCGCGGTTCACGTCCCAGACCCGGTGGCTTAAACTCACGTGGGGTGCGTGTGCATGCATGCCCAAGATCCCAAGAGGAGAATGGAGGAGAAGGGATCACAGCGTGGCCATCCCCTCTGAGGGGTGATTTCTTGCTTTCTATCTCTCTGTCTCTCTCTGTCTGTCTGGCGAGCGCATGTGCCCTATAGCAAAAACCTCTCCAAAAAAAACCAAAACAAAACAAAAAAAAAAACACCAGGCACATGTGCATGCATGCCCAAAACTTCAGGAGGAAAATGGAGAAGAAGGGATTATGGCATGACCATCCCTCCTGGGAGGTGCTTCTTCACTTTCTCTCATTCTCTGTCTCTGTCTCTGGTGGGCACCTAAACCCTGTAGCAAAAGAGAGAGAGAGAGAGAGATACGAGCAGAGAAATGAAAACTCTGA